TCTTGCTGCGTCAAACTCAACTTCCAGAAACTCGAGTGACTCGAGTTCGGTAATAATAATTAATCGGCAGCCGGCTCGGGATTCTCAATTCAAAGTATCGCACTGTAAGCGCTGGCGAAACCAAGGGAACCGGCAATTCCCGCAATTACCTCGTAGTAGGATGAAATTATGTTTCATGATTGTGACCTCTGGCCAATTAGGGCTTCTCTGCTTCGAGCAATCAACCGGCCTACGTGAAAACGATATTTAGTGTCACGAGTATCATGCCCCCGGCAAAACTGGATGCTCTAACTCGGTCATGTGAAACTCCGTCGCCCACTCTTTCACGCGTGCTTGTCTCTCCGTGCTTCTTTATCTCTCCTCGCGGAAGGAATGCCCCTGTGCTGCTGTCTCTTCTCCGGAGGGGGCTTGGAAAGGATTCTGGCCTCCACCTTGAAACCGATTCTCACGATGGTTATGCACGATCCTCGCAGCAGGAATTTCGTTTCGCCAGGTAAGACGAGGAGACGAGAGCAGGTTGAAGTATGGCTTGATCGATATATGCATGTGTGTGCACGGTATGTAAGTACATACGTGGATTTCTCAATTCAGCGGTTCGAGTGGAAACTGGTCGACGATGAATTTCTCCGTCAATCGGAAGACGAGCAGGCGAGCTGACATTAAAGAAATTTTGATTTCAGCGAAATATCTGTAATGATGATTGTAGGAAATTGAAAGAGAATTGCTTCCTAAGAAACTTCTTTCTGTCGATTCTTCCGTGCGATTTAAAACTCTGGCGAATAATTATATAATTTGTCTTGGAGGAAATTTTTGGTTCCAATGGACTCTTTCTTGGAATTCTACGAAAGGGAACCTGCTCCAATTCTGGCAAATCAAAGAACTGACTTTCAAAGAATTTTTCTGTCTCTCTTCTGAATGAATTACAGCGTCGATGATGAATAATCGAATGGAAAAATTTCGATGAAAAGGATCGTATGTTAAATTGGCAGAGAGTAACGATATATTAACTTTCAAAGTTGCAATGGTTCAAGATAATTCGAAGAGAATTTCCTCAACGAATTTTCTTCAAGAAATTCTGTTCATCTTCGGAATTGAAAAAGAAAAAACACCATAAAAATATTCTTCTTCCTTAATAAATTTCTTTAAAATAATTTGTCAGATTAAAAAATTTCTTGGATGAAATAAAAAAGTTTGTTCAACCCTGTTTTTCAAAGAATCTTTCCCAAATTTATATTCACGTAAGAGAATCACAGGAATATACCGATTATGGGCTAATATCGCAATAACGATGTTTCATATTTTTATTACGAATACAATAGATTTTGAGTAAATAAGACAACGAAGATCGAGTACAAATTATTTGTAACAAATTTCCCCCTTTTCAATAGTGTTGCAATCAAACGATAGGATGAAATTTATTGGCGTGCCGAGTCATACCATGCTAAAAGGAACATAAGAAAATACAAATACGATAGGATGAAAATTTCAGCTACTCGCAATTCATTCGTTCGGACACGAGTTCAAAAATAATAGATTGAAAAATTATTTCTATTTCTATTTCTATTTGACAAATTGCGGCAGCACTGCGTGCCAAACGGTAAGGCTAGTGGAAAACACAAAAATACAAACGAACGATGAGATCAAAGTTCCAAGAGTTTCAAGCTTCGGCCGAATATTCTGAGAGTGCGACGGCAGTTTGCAAGATTATTTTAGCGGATGGATAACCCCTCTAATTCGGGTTGTTGGCACCGGTAAGCGGGGTGATTGCATCGTCGTTGAGAAAAGTAGGTTATGAATACCGGCGAGAAAGTAACCGAGAACCGATTTGCCGTATCGTCGGGAAAGATTAGGCGCGGCCGGTCTCCATCAACGATCGTATTATCGCGTTCGACGTGCTTTTGCCCGCCTTCGTTGGCCGTCTCCGAAGATTCAGGACGGTCTTTGTACGGCTTCGAGCACCTTGGCGCATCGATACCACTCTTTTCTTTCTTTTTTCTTTTTACAGCTCGAGCCACCGACGAGCAAACAAGCAAGTACGTACTTAACGCGCGTGCCAAATTCCATTCGGCCAAACCGCGCTGTCTATGTTCCGCGTGCTTTCGAGGTCAGGGAAGAACGACGGCTAGAAATCTTCTTTACAGCTATTGAACCTCTTATGGGACCTCTTCTTGTACAATCAAGTGGACGCTTATTGGCACTGGAGAGGATTTTAGGTGTCGCATGTTGCGAACTTGGAGATGAAACAATTTTTCGTGATTAGATTAGTAGATTTTTGCATATTGCTTTCACGAGTTTTTTTCTGGCGGAAAATCGAGTGAATATTATTAGCGAGATTCCACGAGTCGCGAGTTGCGAATTGAAGATAAAAGGATTGCGATAAATCCATTTTTAGTAGATTCTTACAATTCTCGAAAGGTGGACTCGATGTGGAAAGGAAAAGTTGCGACAATTTTTAGAGAAGAAGAAAAAATACACGAATAAAAATGTCTTTCTACTTTTACATATTTTAGAATTGTGTTTTCGTATGATAAACATATTTTATTCGAATAAATAAATAAAAGATACTTTATTGACTTAATTTACTAATATTACTTTAGTCTACTAATATTAATACTATAACAAGAAATTGCAAATTATAAAATCGACATTTGCAATTTAAAAGTCTCATAAAGAATTGTGTGATCAAAAGTGTACCTAAAATTTCTATTCATTCTGTTTTAATAATAAAAAAAGTTTATCCCTCGCAACAATTTTATTCATTTTGTAGCTTCTCCCTCGTTCAAAAAGTCCGGAATTAAACTTCCAGGAAAAACTCTTCAATTGATCGCTTAAGAAACACGTATCCAGTTCCAAATAACATTGGATTAGCAAAAAAAAAAAA